GGTTGTGTCGGGAAGGTGAGCATCATAGAATGCCAATTTAATAGAAGAAAGTATTCTTGCATTGAGAGAGTACTTGAGTGGAGGCTCAATGTCCTTCTGCTCCCTTAATACCAAACCTATAAATATTGGCACATAGATCTATTTCCCCATCCTCACATATAAATATATTTGCATATGTACATGTCTTTAGCTAGACTTCTATCAATATTCTTCAATAACTCCATAGTTCAAACACACTGATTCTTTTCCAGTCTTTTTATTCAGATGATCCTGGGAATTCTTTCTCTTCTACAGTTCTTGAAATATAATGTTCAATCTTTGGTGTGGAGATGACAGTTCCTAGCTTTGTCCTTCATGTATTTACTAGTTTGGAGCGTCTTTAATTCCATTTTTGAAAGCAAACAGAAAGGATACTGTTCGTTTAGAAATCCACAAAGGACACAGATGGACTTCTGTAGAGAATAACACAAGTTAATATGCTATCATTCTTAAAGAGCAATTCTTAGAGATAAATTCCAAGAATCCTAACTTAATAGTGATACAATGGAAAACATTAATTTTGTTTAAGCTTGAGGGTCATAGTACAGCACTTATTTGGATATGCATGCTCCGATTGTGTATAATGTCATTACATAATTACTTATAGTGATCTCTCATGCAGAGATGAATTTAAAATATACTTGAAAATATAGTAAATCTAAGAAATATTACTTAAAAAAGGGACTATAACTTCTAGTTATATTGTTTCTAAGAACCTATATATTGCTATTTAAGGAGCCCTGGTAGTGCTGTGGGTTAGGTCCTGGACTGCTAATCACTAGGTTGGCAGTTAAAACCCACTAGCCACTCTGTGGAAGAAAAAGGAGTCTGTCTATTCCCGCCATAATTTACAGTCTCAGAAACTTTATATAAAGTTGTTATGAGTGAAAATTGATTCAATGGTAGAGGACATTAATATTCAATAACAGGTAGTATAATACATGAGGGGGTCTCAAAAGTTTGTGAAAAATTGGAATTGGAAGATAATGAGATTTTTCCCATGAACTTTTGAAGCTCCCTTGTACAAAGAAAGTCTCCTGGTTTAAATCAGCAGGCGCAGGTTTGCTATGTCACCTTAGAAAAGTCACCTAAGAGCTTGAAAGACTATGCTTCCATAAAATCAAAATAACTTATCATTCCCCGAGAAGCCAGTCACTGTAAGCCTTAAAAAGCTAATCAATAATCTTATTTATTAATAATGATCTAACAGTGCAAATGTGACTTACTATTACATGAAAATAATTCTAGTTTTATAAATATTTATTAAGTCATGAATTAAACTGTATGTTAAGTTAAATAGTAAAATAATACTTTCAGTAATTAATAGTATATTTAACAGAAACCCTTCAATTTCACTTACTTATAAAATTATTCAATACATATGTTTTGTTGTAAAGGATTTAAAAGGAGTCCTCGCAATGACCTAGTAAATAATAATTAACCTCACCAATTAGATTGAAAAGCTGAAGGGAAATTCAGCTTTCCACAGTAATAGTTGTATTTTTCCTGTAGGCAAAGAAAGAAATAATGTTATTTATGGACTAATTTCTCATCTCTTCATAAACAATTTGAGGATTCCAAAGGAGCATGAAAACATTCTTTCTCATATCTTATTGTCAGGAAGAAAGTGAGAATCTGAACAGGTGTATCCTTTAAAGTTTACAATGTCTGACTGCTAAAATTCTCCCAAACAACTTGCTTTTAAAATTTCAAATTAAAACAGTTGTTAAACTGTTTACCTATCTTCTTCTCAATGTGCTAAGGGAAGTATTTGGCAGATTGAAACTTGTTTGTGGTGTGCATTTTCAGTTTAGTTGTTTATCTCTATTGGGGATCTATTTTGGTTCACCATAAACTAGGAATGAATACTCAAGCATGTCTCTGTCTCTCTGTTTCTCTAC